ATTCAAAAGGCTGATTGGAGTCAGACTGCAGAGGTCTTTAAAAGAGGGATAAGGGGACTAATTCTTTTTCTACTAGCTTTCAACCCTGGCTATCCACTGACAGAACATGTGGCATTTTTAGAAAATATCTATGCCTGACTTCCAGGTTCAGAAGTTGGAAGGTCCTAAGTGGGAAAGGTAAGGACTATGATCTATCCAAGCTAAACACAGTAGTAGAATAACAAATCTTAGCACTGAATGCAAAAGTGACTTTGATAGTAAGGACACAACACGGGCTTGAGATAAAATTACACTATCCATTTACCGGGAGACTAAGATGGTAAACAAGGTGCAACTGTCATGACAAGAGAGGAATATTTGGGTTCAGACAAGATGTGGCTTTAGAATGGGGGTGATAAAAGTCATTTCCATTGCCCATTTGGAGGGGGCCTTTTATTTCCAGAAGTCTAAGTTTTAAATTCCTTATGTATTCTAGATTATTACTCCTCTGAGGAAGAGCAGGTAAACTTTTCTTTCCCCATTGTGTGGGCTGTCTTTTCATTTTGTTTCCTTTGCCATGCAGAAATTTCTTAATCTGATATAATCCCACTTATTGATTCTTGGTATTAGTTCTTGTGCAGTTGGGGTCTGTCCAGAAAGTCTCTGCCTATGCCTATATATTCAAGAGTTTTAACAATGTTTCTTCCAGGAGATTCAGTGTTCCTATTGTGATATATAGGTCTTTGATTAGTGCAGACTAAGAAATACAGATGAAGATTCATTTTGTATGTGGGTAACCAGTTTTCCCAGCACTATCTGTTAAAGAAGCTGCCTTTTCTCCAGCACATATTGTTGGCCAACTTCATAAAGTTCAGACAGCTGAAAATGCTTGGGGCTGTTTCTGCATTCTCTATTATACTCCATTGGCTAATAAGTTTGTTTTGGTGCCAGTACTATGATGTTTTTACCACTCTGGCTGTGAAGTATAACTTGAAGCCTTGGACTATAATGCCTCTTTGCCTTGCTCTTGTTGCCCAGGATTGCTTTGGCAAATAAGGAAACTACTCCAAACACTGCCCACCACTGGACTCTATGCCATCACCTTCAGATCTAACCACCTTGGAAAACCAAACCCCCTCAAATCTGTCCTCTCACCACAGAATGCAGGTCCCATGTCCTTCCTGGCTTGAGTTTGAACTTCTCAGGGGATGTCAGGAGACCTCTCTAGTGTTACCCTCTTAACAGTTTGCCTCCCGTTGCTATTCCCCACTCAGTCGGGTAGGGTAGGGTAGGGTAGGGTAGGGTAGGGTAGGGTAGGGTAGGGTAGGGTAGGATAACACTTCAGTCCTGGAGTGAAACTGTAGTATACATATGTTCAGTGGCTCAGTCACACACATTCAACCACCTCCCAAAATGGCACCTTAAACTCTCTCTCTCTCTGGCAATATGGCAAGCACTGTCCTGGGCTTTTTTCTCCAACTCTGTTCCACTGTCAAGTCACCCTCGCAGTAAAACCACATGCTTCTTTTCTTAGTTTTCACCAACATGTGCTTTCCTTGGGGTTAGAACTACTAGCTGATCTGTTATTTCTCCCTGCAGCAGTCGATTCTTCCAGACTTACCTCTTTTCTGGGTCACTAGACTGTTGGTTATTTACTAGTCACCTGTGGGGCTCTTGTTTTTTAAAACTATTTGTAACAACGAAGTACCTTCAAGGCCCCAGGGAAATTAAATGGAGTCCAATCAAGACTTTCTGTTCTGGACTTTGGCCTCATCCATCAGGTCCATCAGTCAGCTGGCACTTCAGCGGCCACATGCAGAGGGGAAATAAATGCACAGGCAGCTCAGAGTTGGCAGTGGCTGTAGCCAGGATGTGGAAGCAATGGGTGTGGAAGTGGCTGGGGACCAGCACATGGGTCCATGTGCTCCATGGGCCCACATGTCAGAGATACAATTTTTTGATATTTTAACCCCTTGTAATCTTTTTTAAAGTCTCGATTTATTAATTTTCACTTTGTTCTTTTTTAATTTCCTTCCTGTACCAGTTTTGAATTTGGACTGCTCTTGTTTTTCTGTAATTCTGAAGTACGGCATTATTTATTTGGGCTCGCTCTGTTTTCCTTACGTGGGCATTCACAACTAGAAACTTCTCTCTTAGAACTGCTTTCATTGTATCCCCTAGGTTCTAGTATGTTGTCTTGGCATTATCATTTGCGTCTAGGAAGTGTCTAATGTCTTCTGTGACCCGTTGCTTATTCAAGAGTGTATTATTTAGCACATTTCCACTAGCTTGAACCACCAGTGATATACACAAGACTGTCCCATGGGGCAGCTTGTCCTTCACAATGGGACTATCCCATGCTACTTGATGGGATAATCATGCGTGTACCACTGGTGGTTCAGTGCCACCCAGAAGTGAGACATACAAATTACGACCTGTCATGAATGTGTTCATCTCCGCATGTTTGTGTAACTTCTGTGATTTCTTTTCTATTGATTTCTAGTTTCAGGGACTATGATCTGATAATATGCATAAGATTATCTTGAATCTTTTGTATTTATTGAATATACTTTATGGACCAGTATGTGGTCTACTTTGGAGAAAGTTCAATGTGCTGCCGAAAAAAATGTGTGGTTGTTGGGTAAAACACTGTAGGTATTTATTCAAGCCATCTGTTCAATCCATCTGGTTTAATTCTGATATTTCCTTGTTGATTTTTCTGTCTAGATGACCTGTCTACTCATGATAATGGAGTGTTGAATTCCCAACTATATTTGTATTGATGTTTATTGATGTATTGATGAACTGTTATGTCTAGTATTATTTGTTTTATAAAACAGTGTACAACAACATTCAGTACGTACATATCTATAATTGCTATCTCTCCCTGTTGAACTGTTCCTTTTAAAAGTATATCATGAGCATCTTTTGTTTCTTTTGGTAATTTCTGTCTTAAAATCTACTTTGTCCGAAAATAGCTCTAGTTGCTGGATTTTAGGCTTCTGTTGCACAAAGTACTGTTTGCCATTCTTTAATTTTCAGTCTACATGCTTTTTATGGATTGTAACTGTATGCAACATACAAATGGGTTTCATTTTTTTATCCTATCTGTTAATCTGTACCTTTTGATTGGGGAATTAAGACCATTTATACTGAGATTTCCTGCTGGAAGTATTGACTGATTCTTATCATTGCATTATTTTTCTGCTATTGATTCCTTTACTTTTCCCTTTTGCTTTAAGTACTTTACTTTATGTATGCCTTCCTTTTGGCTCTTTTGTGATTTGGATCTCCTTGTCTCTAACTAGGATTTCTTTGTATTGCTGATTTGCTCATTATTTCTTCAGGTGCTCTTTCAGTCATGTAAAATGTTGCTATTTCTCCATCAATTTTGGAAGACAGTTTTGCAGGACAAATTAATGTGGGTTAAATACTGTTTTCTTTTAGAGACTGAAAAACTCTACTCCAAGCTCTCTTGGTCTTTAAGGTTTGTGTTGAGAAGTCTGCTGTAATTCTGATAGGTTTGTCTTTGTATGTTATTTGTTGCTTTTTTCTATGAATTACCATTTGTATTTTCTCTGAAGTTGAACTATTCTGTCATTAGAAATGCCTCAACGTTATTTTTCAGCTCTCAGTTATACTTGTTCAATAGTTCCAAACTAAATATAATTAAAGTAGAGCAAATCTACAAATTAATAAGCCATGTTCCAGCCATGTACCCAAAAAAAATCAGACTATATTTCCTCAGCAGATCTAATGCTAATTCCACTGACTTGTGGCAGCTGAATTGTGTTCTAATGTATCATTTCCCCTTAAAGATGTGGTTCTCATACATGCAGTAGGTTCTACAAAATAATATAGCGAGTTCCTCCAACTAACTTAGAAAAGTTACTGAAATTTTAATACAATTACAGAAGTTTTTAATCTAAAATTTTTACTAAAATTAAAGAATGCATTAGGAGTCAAAAAAGCTCAGGTCTAATGTCTCTACCCAAATCTAAGACTCTCAGCAAGAGGTAATTTTTTCTATGCCTTGGTATATTCACCTATATCTGATACAAAAAATGCTTTGGAAGGTAAAGATAAAAACAGCACAGTAATGGCACAGAAACAGACATATAACCTCTTTACAAATGGTGCTGGGACTACTCAGTATGGTGATGCACACTTGTAATCCCAGCATTCAAGAAGCTAAGGAAGGAGAATTTCTGCGAGTTTAAGGCCAGCCTGCACTACATAGCAAGTCCCTTTCTCAAAAAACCAAACCAAACCAACCAAACCAAACCAAATGCCACAAAATGGTGCTGGGAAGACTGGCTACCCATATGCAGAAGATTGATAGAAGCTGAACCTGTATCTCTCACCATGTACTAAACAAAGATCTAAACATTATAACTGAAACACTTAACCTACTGGAAGATAAAATGGACAAAACTCTTGAAGTCATGGTGTAGGCAAGGACTTTCTGAACAGAACTCCACTTGCACAAGAAATAACAGAAGTCAACAAATGGAATTATAATTTAACTTGCCTGTTTTAGAGTACATTCCAAATGTCAAAGCTCAGATACTGTGTGAAGATGAGCTGCTAACTTGATTAGTGTGGGGGCAATGAATGGGATCAGCAAAGCACACTTCTGATTGTGTCTGAGTGGGCCACAGAGGCATGATATTGGGTACCGGTCCCTTCCTCTGCTTTGCTTCCTGGCTTCTACGAATTAAGCAGCTTTGTTATGTCATGTTTTTGCACCATGATGTTCTTGCCTTGGAGCCAGCTAACTACAGAATGAGTCCTTTGAAACTGTTAGACAAAGAAACCTCTCCTCCTTTATGTTGTGCGTGTTGGGTAATTAATTTGTCCCAGCAACAGAAAATCTGACTAATATAGACACCTTACATTAACTCTACAACAAGGGATAGATGGATAGACAGATGAACAGACCAACAGATAAGTTCAAACATATAGACAATAATGCAATATATAGTTACTTTTAATTTCCAGAAGCAACCTTTGTAACTCACCATCTTTTTCCTCTTATCTTGTTCTGTCGGTGGTTCTTCATCTTCTGTTACTTTTGGTTCCTCAAGATGAGACATCAACATACAGCTACAATTTTCAAAAAACATGTTTGAAATAAATAAAAATTGTCTATAATATACTAAAAATAAGTTTTGAAAATCACTGAGAACATGAATGCTTCTACATACTAACATGGGGAACAGACTAAGATTTATAGATTTATACTTAGATTTATACTTTTTAAAGTATAAATACCTTTCAAAAGAATAAATATCTTACTTTCAAAAGAATTAAATAAAAAAATTCTATGCCCTTTTACTGGAGTATTTAAATCAGTAGTTTCTAGGAAATTTATTTACAGACAACTTTTTAACTTGAGAACGGAAGGTATATACTTTATATTTTTCTAAAAAATTACATGAACACTTAAAATACTTTTTCCCTTAATCTTTACATGCCTCCAAATTATAAATGCAGTAATCTAAATGCTAACAACATTAAAACACTATTAATTATATAATAATCTACTTTGTGCTCCAAATGACACTGCTGTGCTGCTATGAGGCACTTGTCCCTGATGGCCCTGGTACCTTCTGGATAGTTATAAATCTTTTTATTCTGCTTATCTGCATCACTGCTCTCCACCATTATCAGAGATAATAGAAACACAGTTTCCCAGCCCATCAACTCTGGTTCCAAGGAGACAAGAAATGAATATTGTCTAGCGAAATCTCATTGATGGAGCAAACTGTTTCCTCATTTAGAACAAGAAAATTCAGTAACTTACCAGAGTCAGAGTTTCTTAACCAATAAACTGTGACCAAGAAAGTTTAGTTTCTACGTTTTGTGGCAAGTACAGATAAAGGACAATTCCTGATTCCACTGTGTAAATAACTTTGGATTTAGGGTTAAGGATGGGTGCTGATAAAGAAACTTGATCAGACTTGCTCTCGCAATGGACATGGATGTCCTTTATCCCTCTTCCCCAAGAATGAAAACAATGTGGAGGGCTGGGATGGGGGGGCCTGTTTCTGACCCAATTCATGACAAACTGGTGCGATCAAACATAAGAACCTTAGGCTGGAAATCAGAAGTCTATGAGTTCACTGCTTAACTCATTGCATGGCCTTGATCTCTCAGAGCACCAAAGCTCTGTTCACTGTGATATATTATACTAACACAGCACATAGCTTTACCAATGGACTTTAGCACCAAGTGAGGGAAATAAAACATGATTATAACAACTCCAAAATTATTTCCCAATGTGAAATGTCTTAGAAAAGTCTAAATTATAGTTTTTAGTTCAGAAGTCATTAATAATGATGAATTCCAACTGCAATATGGATCTCAATAGGAGCACATTTTATTTTGAATTAAATCATTTCACTGCACTGGATAATTTGTTAATTTACTTCCATAGAAAAACTTTTCTGCCTTCCCTATGTTAAAAGATTAATCACATTAATAATGGAGTATATTTCAGAGATACACACTCCTCCCCCATACCTATGGCCTCTATCCCCCTCGCCTCCCCTCTCCTCTCCTCTCCTTTCCTTCCTCTCGTTCTCTTTCCCTCCCTCCATCTGTATGTACTTGCCTCTCCTCTCTCTCCCCTCTCTGTCTTGCTAGCTTGCTCACTTGCTTGCTCTCTCACTCACTAAAAATTACCCAAAGATAGACTATTTGCAATTCTGCAAGTTGCACTCAGTTGGGTCTCAAGAAGGCAGAAAATGAAAAAATTTCTCCTATAGGAAAATCTCCAATTAAAGGTCAAATCTGATTTTGCCAACAAAGATTAAACACAGGCAATCGTGTTTTACTTAAAAGGCACATGAGAATAGATTTCTAATAAACTAAAATGTGTGACTTGTGAGTATAATAATAGTAGTAATAACAGGACAGCCAAGTTTAAAACAGGAATGACTAAAATACGAATATATGTAGCCACTTCTCCATTTTACACTTAGCTTGCACCTGAATCATCTGGAGGGCTTGGCTAAAGTGCAGACTGCTGGGTTCCCTCCAGAGATTCTGACACCGCAGATCTGGGTGGAACCTGAGAATGTGCAGCTCTCATAATCCCCTCTGTAATGCTTACTCATAACTTAATCCATAATGTCGACGATAACTAATGTTGGAGGAGGGGGCACAAACACTTGTTAACCAGTCCTACATTAGGCCAAATCACAAAAAGTGTTTCCTATTTATATGTCTCTGGCCACTACAAAACTGATTTCAACAATGATTTTTCTTTAAATGCTATGTAATTGGTTTTCAGGTAGACTGATATGAGAAACCATCTATGGATCACTTCATCTAAATTATACTAACATTATTCAGTTGGTCTTTACAGTAGACACTTCGACTGCTTACATAATTACCCTCCTTAACAGAACCCTGAATCTGCCCAGTTAGTTTCTCTTTCCGTGCCACCACATGCTCCAGGAAAGGAGGATCCCAAGCCCAGTGCCAGTACTCAATAAACTATCATGGTCATCCTGCTCCTGGTCAATGGCTGCTTGCAGCAAGAGCACATTTAAAGAATCCTGCCCAATTAGATCTAAAGGAAAGGCTGATATTCTAGAAAAGTTCTACTTCTATCTTTAAAAAAAAAGACACTTGTCTGCCCTTGGCATTGTACAACTACTTGGTACAAATGAGAGAAGGCAGCCTGCACATGAGATTAATGGGCGAGGCGGGCAGCCCTAGGTTTTTGATGTTAGAAAGGCCACAATTACCTAATCCTGGTGCTACTTACCCACTGCAGTTGCTTTCTCATCAGAGACAACTAATTCTTTATGGTTGAAGCTGAAAGTCTTTCACAGTCTTTTAGATAAATATCTTAGAAAAATTCATCTCTAGGTCCAAGCCAAGAAAGTCTCCCTTTCCTAATAAACCTATATACTTCTATTTGAAAATAAGAACCTTGTTATTCCTAATGTTTCTCTTTGCACTGGCTGCTAGATAGTTCACAGTCAAGTTTACTATCTGGAGACCACAGGTTTCCCCAGGTAAGATTGCTTATTTATATTTCTTCAGAAATATAAACAATTAGAAACAATTAAATATTATATATTACCAATGCAGAAAAAGCACCAAGAAGGAACAGAAAAAGATGTTAACAAATAGAAACAATTTGTTTATAATGTTATATAATGAAAAAATGTTAACAAATAGAAACAATTAAATATTATATATTACCAATGCAGAAAAAGCACCATGAAGGAACAGAAAAAGATGTAAATTCTTTCTTTAAGTCTAGAGAGTAATTTTAGAGGTAGGTATTTGTCAAGCAAGGCAAAGCTGAGAGAGCACGACACACCAAGGAGAAGAAATACTGCTAGTCAAGCCATCATCGGTATAAGCGGTTGGGGAATGATGAAACAATCTAAGGAGGCAAAGAAAAATAAAGGAAATGCAAATTTTGTAAACTGAGAGCCAGAAAAGCAGAGGAGGTGCCATCAGCTTCATTGTGTAAAAAAACAGGTTTTAAGTAGAAGAACACAGATGACAGGAGGTTGGAGAGAGAACCCCAAGGAAGCCACTAGGACCTACATAAATTAGGGTAACACGGAAGTGATAATGTCAGGCTCAGAAAATGAGGTTTCTTCTAGCATTCTCTTCTCCATTCTGAAGAGTCCTCTGGTAGCTCAATATCAAATAGAGAAAGAAAAATCCTTATAAAATCCTAAATTTTACTTCTGTTTCAAATAAGACTACTTAACTTATAGTTGGTAAGTTTTACAGTCTATAGTTATAAAAGTCACATTTTACGAGTCCTTTTATTGCCCCTAGGGTTCCTAAAATTCTGGCTTAATTCTTTGTCCCTTTTTATTTCCCAAATTTGGGAGGTGGTGATCAATTTCATTTTCCAATGTTCCTGACAATAAAATATCATACAGGAAAAGAACAGGGAAATGTGCTAATCACACAGGCAAAAGACAAATCTTTAGCATCATGAACACATTTTCCTGACAAATGAAGTTAAGTTCTCTAGTAACTAAAAAATTAACAAATTCATAAAATCCAGATTCATAAACTCTGAAAATGAAACTCTTCTTTCCCCTAAAAAAAAATCATTTTCTGTACCATTCTCAAGAAATAACTAACAGCGGGGCTGGGGAGTTAGCTCAGCGGCACAGCGCCTGCCTGGCAAGCACAAGGTAGTGAGTTCGATTCCCGGTACTGGAAAAAAAAACAAAAATAAAAAAAGAAATAACTAACAGCAAGATTAATAATAGCCAAGGATTGGCTCTTCATTTATCTGGGAATATAAACTTCTCTTACTGGTAGGTAAAATAAGAAATGAGATTATTGGTGAAACTCATTCACATTTTTTTCCCCCATATAAAACATTGTTTAAAATTTTAAATGCCTGCTGAGCATGGTGGTGAACACCTATAATCCCAGCAATCTCAGGAGCCTTAAGCAGGCAGGGGTCACTGCCACTTTGAGGTCAGCCTGGGCTATACAGTGAGTTGGATGAACTATCACATAGTGAGATCCTATCTCAAGAAAAAAAAAACTTAAATGCCTACGTGAATGTATTATGAGGACATATTAAAATGCAAAATTGAGCACCAGTTGTCAGATATATGTTGGGGACCATGTATTATAAATTGAGTCTAGGTGATGTCCAAGCTTATCTTTGTCCTACCCTTCGGGGCCAGATTGGAACTCAGAAACTCCCTAGAAGAGAAAGTCAGAACTGGAAGCCCTAGGGCTCACTCCTGTGGTCCTCACAGGGCAGAATAAGATCTGCTAAAGAGGATAAAGCATCTGGGGAAACTCTTCTCCTTGTCCTTATCCTTGCAACAATGTTCTGATCTTCCTACCCCATGGTAATCACCATTACTGTTCCCAGAAACACCCACTGCCCTTCACCCATTGTCCTTGACTCAGCCGTAATGAATAAATCAAGGGTTGAGGTGCCTCGTGGCCTTTTGGTCCTAGAGAGCAACTGGTGGTCCCAGATCCCTGCTATGCCCCCCTCTGCCTTGTCTCCTGCACTTTCTTTCCTTTCCCCACCATGCACCATACCCCAGAAAGGAGACTGAAACCCACTGCAGGGGTTTCCAATAATGTAGCATAATTATTTTTTAAAATAATGCATATATGTTACTCAAACTACAAATACCTCTTAACCCTCACTAGCCACACATTCTTATCACCAACACTGACCAATCCTGTCTTTAAACTCTATCTCAAGTTCAACTCATCTAAGATTACCCACATGGTTTCCCCACCTCCAGAGCAATGAGTTTTCAATTGTACAAGTTATATGAATCATCAGGGTTCCTGTGTGCAATGCAGGTCCTGCTGTCCTATACCCAAAGATTGTGATATAATGGGTCTGGCCTGGAAGGGGGAATCTGCATTTTTAAGAAGTACCTTAGGTTCTTCTTCTGCTCTGGGACTGCTCTTAAGCATGTACACCTCTTGTAATTTTTCATAATGCACCAAAGTGATGCTTCTAATTATAAATTTAATCATGTTGCTTCCATTCTTTAGAATCAGCAGAAAATAGTTCAAAAGTTGTGTATTTCAGACAGGTTACTTAATTAACTGGTGCCAATCCACTACATATCCTCAGAAATTATTCTCAGTTTCTTGGACCTATTCCTTACCTGTAGCTAGTTCTGATCCCTACATTTATTTCCCCAGTGAGTACTTTAAGGAAAAAGACTCACCTGCTTCCTTAAGCAGCAGAGTGTCTAGTACAAACATCTGAATAAAGAGATCTGTCAGGAAGACTTCCTAGTGTGATTGTTAATTTATGTACCAACTTGACTGAGCTACCAGGTGCGCAGAAATTTGGTTAAGCATGATTATACTGGGTGCATCACTGAGGCTGTTTCTAGACATTTGAATCAGAAGACTGGGTAAGGCAAATCGTCCTTCCTAATGTGGGTGTGCCTCAGCCATTGTTCTAATTCATTTTCAACTGTGACTACAGTAAGAATTCAACAGAACAAGAAAGGCTAATTTTCTTGAACCATTTTTAAAAAAAGGGAAACTGGAAACCCACTTGGTTACATAAGTAAATATTTTATGTTTCTGGTGAACTTTTCTCAATTTTTAATTATATCCTATAGTCCAATGGGCTGTATGTTAAAGAACACTGTATTTTATAGAACAGAAAGATTTATCAAAGATCTAGTGTAACTATTCTTAGGAACTGAGAATCAATAAAGTAATTTGTTTTTTCCATTAAGCCAGGACAAAAAGCAACTGCCAAATAACTCTGGGGAAGAGAGAAACAGTGGTTGGTCATATGTTCTGGCTCCCCACGCACATTAACCCTTGTCTACTCTTTTTTACTTTGTATCCCTATAATGGTATCCTAGTCAGTTTGTTTTCTTTCTAATATGTCACCTTCCAAACCAAAACTTTTTCTTCATGTTGAACTTGGCATACTTAGAAGACTTTCTCTTTTTGACTTCTCCATATATTTTGCTGCACCACAGCTCTTTGATGGGTCCTGTTATCCTGATTTTCACATTATGATACTGCAGTAGACAAGTTCTAAACTTTATTCCAACTTCTAGAGTCATCTCTTCCAGTTAAAACATGTTATAATTTTGTTCTACTTTCTACATCCTAACATTTCTTCTTCTTACTTGAAGTTTCTAATACATACAGCCTTTCTTTCTGCTACTTTCTATAAAAGCACGACCTACAATTCTACTCTGTTGTGTGCTCTGCACAAAATGTATATAACTGCCTTCACGCATACTAGTGCTGTCACTGGACCATCAGCCATGTACACTCCTCCCACTAATTACAAACTCCAAAGAGGACAAGAAACACCTTAATATATCCTAAATATATCAACAGTAGTAAATTTTTTTCACATAATGTAAAAGAAACACTGCTTACAATCATTTGCCATAAACTCTTATGCTACCTTAAAAATTATCTACATGCATGAATGATTTCTTATTTTGGGTTTGTAGTCACAAGAAATTTGATATTTCCACTTCATATGAAGTCCTCTTTTCTTAAAAGCTAAGTGACATGTTAGGCACATTTTCTTCCGTGTTTAATAAGACTCAAAATGTATCTGTTTTCTGTATTTTTCAATCAAATATGATTCAAATGTCAATGTTTTCCATTTGCTATAGTTTTCAAAAGAGCAAAGAAAACAGTCTCAGTGTTACTGAGAAGTCAAGCAGTCTAAAATCTCATTAGGTCTAACATAGGAAATATGCCCTTTATTGACAGTAATAATAAGAGGAACAGTACAAGAATTACACTAACCACAAAAAAAATACAGTGACAATTTTTTTTTTAATTTAGATTCATAACTACAAAAATTATCAGTATTCTAACAGTATTTTAACAATTCTGGTAAAGAACATAAATTTAACTATTTTTTTTGGAACTAGCTGATTATTACAGGACCCACCCCCAGACACCTGAAAGGTAACAGAGAGGCTTCAATTAGGCAAATACAAAGCAACTTATTTCATTTCCCTTATAACTTGCCTGAAGAGAAAGTGAACTCTGCAAGCAGGAAAAAAAAGAACACACTGAAAAAATCTTTAAGATGAAATTTATATTCCAAGTCTAAAATATACTTGGAATTCTTAAAACACCTAATATTAAATCAGAAAACAAGAAGTCCAACTTAGAATATCACTGTAATATAATAAAGCTGATTTCAAGATCAAATAATATTTTAAACAAAATTAATAAAAAATTTCTGTATAAAATATAAAACTACAAACCTTCCATACTATTGTTTATATGGCAACACACAGCACGTATTTAGGTAACCCCTAAATGCAAATGTGATTAGTTGAATGATTCACCTACTCTTTGTATGTTCCTGTCTCAGGGTCTTCTGTCATGACGTCATGAAGGCCCTCCACTGAGATATTTATGATCCCACAGAATTTATCTTGGATAACACTAGAATAAAACAAGAGCAAAATACATTAATTGGAGTATTTTAACAGGTGACTTTTTAAAAAATCTAAATATTGTCTTAAACATGAAGAGAAATTTTAGTTTTGAAATACAAAAGAAACTTCCAGGATTGTTTAAGGCAAAAACTGTATACACACATTATAAATTTCTCTTTCACAAGATTATTACTATGTTTAGATGTACACTGGGATTAGATAGAAAAGAGACATTTTGATACTCTCTTATAAGCATTTTACATTAATTTGGTAACTAGAAAAGTAAATATACAAAAGTACTGGCTAAAATAACTGCTCTTCTGAAGACATTGTCAAAAAAAAGACAAGACATGATCTAGTCTGGAAGAAAATATTTGTAAAATGTGTATCTGGTAAAGGGCATAGATCTAGAATACACAAAGAATCTGGAAACTCGGTAAGCAAAATAACTTCACTTTGAAATGGTCAAGAATTCGAACAACATTTCATCAAAGAAGATATTCAGATGACACATGAAAGGCTGAAATGTTCAACATCATTAGGCCGCGGGGTAAGGCAGTAACATTAAGCCTCTTAACACCAAGTGCTGACGAGGAACTGTCACACACTGCAAATAAAATTTTAAAATGGAACATTCAAAATAAATAAATAAAATAAAATGGAACATTCACTTTGAAACATTTTTTATGGCTTCTTTTTGTTCATATGGTACTAAGGATTGAACTCAGGGCTTCTGTACTGAGATATATTCCTGTCCTTTTTTGAAAAAATTTTGGGACAGGCTGTCATTAAGTTGCTGAATCACCATGCTGGGCCTGAATCTTCCTCCCTCAGCCTCTCAAGAGTTCTGAGATTACAAATCTGCACCCCGTACCTAGCAGTAGCATATTGTTGTTTTTTATAAAGTAAAGTACCACACAACTGAGTAGATCCACACCTACATATTTGCTTAAGACCAAAAGAACTATTCTAAGACCTGTATATGAACATTTAGGATCATTTTATTCGTGCTAGTTCCAAACTAGAAATGACTCAACTGTCTATCAACTAATGAATGGGTGAAGAAACTGTGGAACACTTATTCAATGGAGCAACACCCAGCAATTAAAAGGAAATAACTATAAGCAACTGAAAGAACAAGGATGTATCTCAAAAATATGCTAGGAGAAATAAGACACATTCAAAAGCCTACATACTGCATGACTCCATGTATGCCACTTCTTAGGTAAAATTATGTGGTCTGCGGTTCCCTGGCAAAGAAACAAATGGAAAATTTTGCGATAATAGAAATGTTCTGCATCTTGAGCATGGCAGTGATTGCACAACTGTGTACATTTTTTAAAACTTCACACTAAAACAGGGTTTTTCCAGCCGGGCATGGTGGCACGTGCCTGTAATCCCAGCACTTGGGAGGCTGAGGCAAGAGAATCACCATGAGTGCAAGGCCAGCTTAAATAGCACAGTGAGACTCTGTCTCAAAAAATAAATAAATAATACTAATAACAAAATAAAAAGGGGTTTTTCTATATGTAAAATACACCTGACTTTTCAAAAAGTAAAAGCATATAACTGTGGACACAATAAATTACATGAATTTAAAACTAACAGAACAGTAAAGTCCTGCCACCAAGGAACTTATAGCATCAGTCCTACAAGGGGCATAACCATGTTTCAAATACTTCACTAACATGCAAAATCAATTTTTATTTTATTTTATTTTTTTTTTGGTTTTTCTCCAGTACCGGGAACCGAACTCACGACCTTGCGCTTGCCAGGCAGGCGCAAAATCAATTTTTAAATGTTCAAGAAAGTGGTTCCCAAGCTCAGCACAGTTTGGTCACTTATCTCTTTGGAAAGTCAAAGACCATGCACGTACATTCAAATATGATCAAGCTTGGGGAACTCAATCTCCAGATGGGCTAAATAATAACTAGCAGACATCATTTTGATATATCCTAATCTGTATATAATATCTAATTTCAAGAGACTATACATTTAGTCCCTTTACGTAAGAACTAAGAGTGCCAGGGTGGTGGCACACACCTGTAATCACAGCACTTGAGAGGCAAAGAAAGGAGCATCACTGTGATTTCGAGGCCATTACGGGCTACATAGTAAGTTTAAGGCCAGCTCAAACTACATAGCAAAACAAAAACAAACCAATAAAAACACACCAAGAAAAAAAAATTCTCTAAAGAAATATACAGTCCATCCCATTTGCTTCAGTGAGAATCACACTAGAAAAAATATTTAGAAAGCCAGGATTTTGCACTAGAAGTTCAGCTGAGTCAGCCACTGAAGTTAATTCATTTCTATGATGGCTTGTATCTAGATGCCTTAAAGCCTCATACCCTCACAGGTGGGGTGTTGGGGAGGTGGCCGGATCATGAGTGTGTAATAATTGGATTAAGCTACTGACTGGTTTAGCATGGTTCTGGATGTGGATGATGGGAAGATCTAACCTGGGTGTGGATATCAATTGGCTTGTAGCCTAGATGGAATTAAAGGAAAAGCAGAAGGAAGGCTGCTGCCTCTCCTGCCTGCCCTGCCATGGACTATTTCTTCTTCAGTGCCGCTCTGCCATGTCACCCTGCACTGGAGCCAGCCAACTATGGGCTGAAACCTCTACAAACTGTGAACTAAACTAAATCTTTCCTCCTTTAACTTGTGGGTGTTGGCTAATTTCTCCCAGCAAACTGGAACTGAGACAATTTCTTTGGATCTTGGCCTCCTCAACTACAAGTGAAGGTTGGACTCAGAGATAGCAGATATTTAGGAAGGATATACCCATTTCCCCTTCCCAGTGGAGAACAATTCACCACAAACCCATCATGGTATGCTAACACAAGCAACACCTGAAATTTCTTAACATAATACCATTCTGGTAGCTGTCAACACTGACCTCGTTTAGATCAAAAAGACAAAAGCCATCTAGACTATTATGCCCTATCTTTGGCCAGACCTTTATTTCAATATTATTTGGTAACAATCTACTCAGGCAATAGCCTTCTCTATTTGCAACAGTACCCAGCATCAACTCCACACCTACAAAAACCAGAAATTTCCCAAGGAATCAATGGAATTGCTGAGCACCGATTACGTATTTTCACTTTCCTAACAGGTATCTGGAAACCAAAGTGTGACTGTGTTCTACAGTGTGGCACATCAATTGTGAAGCAGCATTAAAGAGGGGAAACGCGAGTGTCTATTAAGTGCCAGAAAGGATGAGACTAGATTCCAAGTTCAGAAAAGGGAAAAATGACCATGGCTCAGGGTAAAAAGGAATGCCAGTTGGCTCTGAAAGGGAAGTGCTGACACTGGGGAAGAACTAAAGAAAAACAGGAAGGGAAATATCCATGCCACACTCTACAATCACTAAAAACATAAATTATAGAAAAATCATCTTCAAAGCACTCAAGTCTGAAAAAAAAAAAATCACTCATCATAAAATGCATCTTAATTACTACTCATAAAGCAGCTTGGAGAAAGTGTCTCCAAATAACAGAAAAAATAAAAAACCCAAGAGGCTTATATATTCCTGGCATTCAGAATATTTAAACAAACATTAAGAAGTTATCAATTCTTTTGCTCCCATTATAGTATTATAATACATTCCCCCCTAATGTTTAATATTTTATAGTGAAGCCTTTATTACTATTTTTTGTTACCAAGAATCGAACTCAGGACCTTGCGCTTGCCAGGCAGGCACTGTGCTGCTGAGCTATCTCCCTGGCCCTTTACAATGAAGCCTTTAAACAAATACTTATTTGATATACAATACTCTTACTACAACCTGCAGTAACGTGACATTTTAGTGAATATTAAGCCTCTATTTCATCTTTTACTCATATAAAACTCTCTTGACCCTTTTGTTTCATAAGTTAAAAATCTTGCTTTCTATAACACGCAATCTTCCTGAATTAAGTGATTTAAAATGTGACTAGAAATTTAAAATTGAAACAACCAAAAGAGCTGTAAACTGGAGTGAAGTGAAACAGGAAGGGAGGGAAAAGAGGCTTTATTCTTAAAAACAAGTCAGAAACTAGGTAGTATTTCTTGATGAAAATCACCCAGTTTTTCCTCTTAACATGCTACATGTTGGAGACCTGAGAAGCATTTTCTTACAGTTCTTCTTGGTGTGGCATACTCACCTATTCAAGTCAGATATTGGCAATGAATGTAATCATTATGTACTACAAACGTGTACCAAAAAACAAAAACACCAAATCAGATGTTGGGTATATCATGGAAGAACTAAAGGCCACCAAAGGAAGGCATGTAATCATAAATCGCTTTCATTCTTAACAAGCCACTGCTTACCAAATGCCAGTTCATAGTAATGACAAAGATACAGCAATCTGGAGTTCCTAAAACAATCAGCCAAACTGTGTGAGTTACTTATGTAGCAACCCAGTCAAAAAGCCAACATTCAGAAGCTTTAAAGAAAACAAAAATCAACTTTTTACTCCAGGAAAAACTATTATCTAGGTTTAATTTCCTGGGCTAACTTCAAAAGATTCACTATAACAAGAAGTAGGAGTATCATGAAACAGGAGGTAGACTTATACAAGGCTATCAGTCAATTTACAAAGGCAATGATCAGAATAAATGACCAAATGCATTATTCAGGCTAACCCTTTCTGGTCAACAGGTCACCTTTTACTCAACACTATGAGTGGCAGACACCATGACAGGGCCTAGGACCAAAAAGATGGTCAACTCAGAGAACTCTAGTGTAAATTCTAGTGTAAAAAGTCTAGTGTAAGTGTGTTAAAATTAAATGTTATTTGTTCTTTGACTCAAAAGAATTTTTTAATGCCGTGCTTTTAAATTCAGGATCCTGCTACAGACTAGAAATCTGCAAGAAAGACAAAGAACTTAAGCAACAAATTTAGAGGTTTATTGTGTGTTCATAATCAAGTTATAATCTCCTAGATTTCTTTTTCAGTTGTAGAGGAATTTCTGATTTGTTAACTGGCACTCAAAAGTCAGAGCAGCTCGTCCCCT